TTATTGTAGATCATGCAGGGAGAACAAAGGGTGAAATATTTAACTGCAGCAGTGTTTGACTATATTCTGTGCAGTGAGAAAACCTGAAGTCATTTTCAAGGTCCACCATTTCTTACTTCTTTTCAGTCGGGTCAAGTTTCTAAACTTTCTCAATCTCCATTTTCTGGCTAATGAAAAGAAAATAGGATTCTACTGCGTCTCCTATCTACCTACTCCAGGACTTCTGTGAGGATCAAATGAGATGAGGCACGGGAAAACACTTCTCAGACATTTGGTGAAAATGTAAAATGTTTCCAACTGGCTGTAAAGCAAGTTGTGTTCCTGGGCTGAAGAAACTCCAAGGAGACTAGACACTAGAGCAGTGATTCTCAACCTTCTGGCCCTTTAAATACAGTTCCTCATGTTGTGACCCAACCATAAAATTATTTTCGTTGCTACTTCATAACTGTAATGTTGCTACTGTTATGAATCGTAATGTAAATATCTGATATGCAGGATGGTCTTAGGCGACCCCTGTGAAAGGGTCGTCTGAAGAAACTCCAAGGAGGCTAGTCGCTAGGGAGAGGAAGCCAGGCGTTGCTACGTGACATCATTACCTGGTGCCCACAGCGACCATTTCCGGTCTGGGCTGGTCTGGGCTGTGGGCTGCATTTTGTGTCATGGGGTCTTGGCAGCGTTGGCTGCGATTTGGTGGGCTGTCACTCCGGGGTGGTGGCAGGGCCTATGTCCCACTTGGGGGAAGCCGAGTGTTGCTTTGTTAGCACCAGGTCTTCAGTGCTAAAATTTCTTTGTAAATGGCCAGTGCACGTCACAGCAGCTCCTGCGTTGAGCGTCTGTTCCTTGGACAGTCAGAGGGACACTTAGTATATTAGCCTTTCATATATAGAGATTTTATATAAATATTTTGAATTTTTACTATGCCATAATTAAGCATCTTCTTTTATGGGTATTTTGGGTTTTCTCTGCTTTTCACTATTATGGAATTGTAATTAAATGTTAAAGTTATTTATAATTTATAAACTGGTATAATTGAACATCTTTCAAGATAAAATTTTATGTGTTGGCAATTTTTAATATAGATTCCTAGAAATACTATAGCTAAATCAAAGATTGGAAATATATTAACATTTTTTATTGATATTGATAATTGTTTGCTCTTCTCCTGTTACAAAGAATTTAGTCACCTCTAGGCACAATTAGAGTTGATGACTTTGAGTCCCACCTAAACTGTGATGATCTAATTTTATATATTTTCAAATTCCTGAATATATTTCTACTGTATGTCCTTTTTTTTTCCTGGTTATATGACACATTTTCTTGCTTCATTGCTTGTCCCATAATATTTTATTGTGATATTACATCACTGAGAATCTGGGTTTTGTAATTTTTCTTTATAAAATATTAAGTTTTTGTCCTGACAGGTAATAATTTACTGACAGATCAGCTTCTTCCAGTAATGATGGTGAAGATGGGTCTAGAGTAACTTTCCAAAATATGATCTTTCTGGGGCCACTGTATGACCTCTAGACTATCCATTAAGAAATGAAAGTGGAGTGAATGTAGTTCCCCTTATATGTTTCTCTTATCAAGAATCACAGCTCTGCACTGCCTGTTGTCTGATGCCTGAAAATAGTTGTTCCATAGATTTTGTCTAGTTTTATAGTTGTTTACAGTCGGAGGCTTAAGACTGGTACCTATGACTGTGCCATGGTACTTCATATTACATATTTTTATCTACTTATGTTGGGTGTGTAGTGGGGTAAATAAGTGTAAAGAAGTTTATGGGTGTCAATGTAAGATCTTCATGTTATTTTTTTGTTTTATAAAGATACTACAAGGCCAAAGCGTGACTACGAGGTGGATGGCAGAGACTATCACTTTGTCATTTCCAGAGAACAAATGGAGAAGGATATCCAAGAGCACAAGTTTATAGAAGCCGGCCAGTACAACGACAACTTGTATGGAACCAGTGTGCAGTCTGTGAGATTTGTAGCAGAAAGGGTATGTTCACCAACCATCGTACACCTCCCCTGCCGACGGGCCCCAGCTGGCAAACTGCATATTTTGGTCATTACTCTTTCCTGATTGCAGTTGTAAAGTTTGATGAAATAATCCTTTTAGACCTCTAAGCAAAGAATCACTTTAGAGCATGGTCATTAATCTTTGTTCTAATCTCAGTAAAATAAGCTGATGGACTTGAGGGGGCAAGGGTGGCGTATAAACATAAAGGCATTGAACAGCTTGAAGTTTATGAAGATTCCCTTTGTCCTTGACTTTGGTCCCAGTAAACAACATCGAACTTATTAAGGAAGCTTCATTACTCTTGGTGGTTTAGATCAGCATCCTCGAGTCTGTTTATTAGCAGGAGTTACGTCTTATCTCCCGGTGATCAAGAGAGAGAGATAGGCTGACTGCCTAGCCTACTACTGGCAAAAATTCCAACTTAAGGTTGCTGTTGTTGCTGCGATCGCCTCTCTGCTAATAATTTTAAGTGACTGGAAAGAGGAGAACATTCCAAAGAGAATAGGATAGAAAAGCACGTGAGTGTGGCTTTAAGATCTGCCTATAGAGACATCCAGATCTGTCAACAGAGAATTCATTTCATAAGAGGGGGAAAAAGAGTTAAGAGCCAATTATATTTGTTATATAATTGATATTTATTGTTGGGTTGAATACTGTTTTCTCCCTGTTGATGTACTGGTACAAAAATGAAGTAAGAAATTTAAATGTCTACCTAAGAATACACTAAGCAGCTGCATCTATTTCCCTCTCTCTCAAAAGTTAGTTTCTATAACATACTGTTTGTAATCGGTTTCCTGGAGAATCGCATCTAGTCTCCTCTTTGAACATAAAGATACAACCGTTGTTAACTCGAAATGTTCTGGCCAGTGAATAAATCACTTAGAAACTTTATGCAGCTGCTACACTTCACAGATAGCAGACTTGGAATCTATTACTTCTGTGGTAAAGGCTTGAACCATCTCAGTGCATTTCTCCTATTATAAGAGCTCAAGTATTCATGGACTCAGCTCATTTTCACTTAAATATTATAGATGAGTTGTTATCCCCTATTTAGGACTGTTTCTATCTGCATAATGTGCTTTTTCTCTTCTTGTGTAAAGTTCTGCCAGCATCAGAGTAATGAGGCCATTTCTCTCCAGGAGGTAGAATCCTATGTGTGGCAAATATATCTACTTTTCTAGAAATACTTTATAAAGCAACTCCTTGCTCTGAGCACTCATTGCAGTGGAAGCCAAGTTAAATGAGCTGTGCTTCTATTCATTAGGGTTTCTATTCATTAACAAACAAGAAATTTACATACCCTGTGCAAGCCTCTCTCTCAGCATTTAAGACACAAGATTTAAGGTACCTCTTGTTGTGAGTGTCCTCTGCTAGGCTGGGCATATCAAGGTCAGGATACATATAAGCACTCAGCAAATACTTATGGAATTATTCTAAATTCACATGATTACCATTCCTCCAAATTTACCATCAGGCGGGATGAGACAATGAGGTGTCTGTTTATTCCAACCAACAGCTATGTGAGTGCTCAAGATTTGTGTTTCCATCCTCCTAACACTGAGACTTTGGGCAAGTTCGTTCATATTTCTAAGCCTTAGTCTTCTCTTCTGTAAAATGCAGTTGATAATACCTACCTCACAGATATGGGAATTTCTTCTTGACAGTTGTCTTCAGAGATGGTTTCCGAGCTTTGTGAGAATAGACCGGTCACATTACATATGTCTACATATCTTCTCTGGACAAAGCATCAGATATTTATTGGGGAGATGGATGCACCATGCAGTGTGCAGATGATGTTTTATTGAGTTGTACGCTTGAAACCTGTATGGTTTGCGAACCAATGTCACCCCAATAAATTCCATTAAAAAGAAAAGAAAACAGTTAACTGAGATAACACATGTGGAATGTCTATCCCAAGGGCAGACACTTAGTAAGGGAGTGATAATTATTAGTCATGGCAAGCATTCAGGAATCACCTATGTAACAACTTTTACTTGTGCTTTGCAGCGATCCTTCTCAACCCTGAGAAATCCATTATCCCTTATCTTCCCCTAACACACTTGCATTGTTTTTAGTGGCTGTTGGATTATGATCACTTTTTCTGGATTAACTCCATATTTTTCTTCTCTTTCTACCAGGGCAAACACTGTATACTTGACGTATCAGGAAATGCTATCAAGCGGTTACAAGTTGCTCAGCTCTATCCCATTGCCATCTTCATTAAGCCCAAGTCTCTGGAACCTCTGATGTAAGTGGAGGCCACTGGAGGTCTTCATCTGGCCCCCTGTTCCATATGACACAGTTCTGTCACAAATGCTTACAAAGGGGAAATGCCATTATTGATTTTTTTTAAGCATTCCCTTTTTTTTTAAAGCTGTATTAAAGTTTTTTGAGTCACTACAGACATGTCAGTAATTCCTTAAAATGTCTTCAGTAATGCTTCTTGACTTTTATTTTCATTTCACAAGTTGTTTTGTATGTGTATGTGTGTGATTGTTTGGTTGTTATTTAATTTGGTTGTTTGGTTTGGTTTTCCAAATGATAGACAGTATCATCTTCTAATTGTTTCTTACTTCTGAGAGCAGTTCCATTGGTAAATCTTTTTAAATGTGTGGATTTTTATCAAAGGAGTGGACAATATTTTAGACTCTTTTCATTGGCATTTCATTTTGTTGTATCACAGAATTCTTACGTTACTTAATTAGAACCTCATGAATATAGACCACTATCCTTTATAGGGAGTTTCTTCATGGCTTTGCAGTAAAATGTCTATTACTTAAGCCAACAGCTCCACGTATATGAACAAGGGGTAAAATACCTTATATTATTCTTTTAATTTTCAGAAGACTTGTAAAATATCTTCCTTCAAAAGTCACTAAACAAATTGGGCAGATATTCCTGATCTGACTTGACTACAAAGTAACATATTTCCTTTGGCAGTTTAATAGAAATTGTGGACATTACTTTATAGATAACTTCCGTACAAAAATGAGGCTGCAGTCGCCATAAAGGTAGCAGAACAAAGAGGCAAAGAGCAGGGACTTGAAAATTGATCAGGCCAGGATTGGTTCTTAGCTTTGCCACTGGTCAGTTCCATGACCTTGAGTTCCTCACCTCTAAACTTGGCACATTAAGAACATATACCTCATAGAGCTAGAAGAATGGTTAAACAAGATCATGAATGTAAAGTTCTTCATACAGTCTTTGGCATATGGGAAGCACTCTCTAAATAGTAGCCATTATTGCTATGAAATATGTCAAGTTACCTTGTTATAAATGGAATAAAGCTATATGATATTTGATCATCATAAAACATATGAACAGTACAGTGCCTTTTCCAAGAGGTCGCAAGAGCTTTGCTTAAATATGCCTCCATTTGGGCCTCAAGACTTCAGGGTATCTGACAGGCTGCAGAAGTGAACCACAAAGTTCTGGAAAACAGTGTTCATGGAAAGATCAAAGAAATTACTTACTCCCAGAGGTGAACACAGTTGCTTGCAGAGGCTATCGACTACCTGCTCTACCATCTTCTCTGAGGATGAAGAGATGAAGCAAGTTGCAGTAGCTGGAATTGCAGCCCAAGAGAATTCAGTTAAATATATAGTGGGTCTCTGAGGAAATTGCCAGAGTGATATCTTAAAAGCAGACTATATTCTCATAAATAAAAGATGGGCAAAGTTTTTATCAGGGTCCAAAAATAAAATAAGGAGATCGCCAGCAATTCAGCTCTGTGAATTTATGTGTTAAATTTTAACATAAAGAGCTTTGCCCATAGTTGGCACATGGAAAAATCTGGGTTAACAATAAAATAGTGGTTCTTGATCATATTATCCCCGATAGCATGTATTAAATTTCCCCTCATATAGGATACTGTGTGGCATATTGCACAAAGTGAATTAAGCAACCACAAATTTCATTATGTAAAAGTAATTTATAATCTTTAAAGAGCCTCATAAATTTTATGAGCAATGCTAACATTAAGAAGAAGAATAGAAAAATAGCCCTCACATCCTGGGAACAGCATCTTAAAAGCCTGTTTCATAAATAGAAAAATAAGTTTCACATCATCAACAGACAGTGGGATAAATGGCTCCTAGGAAGTGAGGCCTGAGGGAGAAATAGCAGTTGCACATTTGGGTCCACATGAGATTGGGAGACAGTCCCATCTGGTGCTCAGTAGGTCTACTTCCTTCCACAACTATGAGATGACTTATTTCGTTTTGCCTTAAGGCATTGTCACAGCCACTTATCACCAAGGAAAATTAAACATACTGAAGGCTGGATTCCTCAATGAGGACCAGGAATCTGTCAGAGTGGCTGCAGCCACATCCATAAGTCTCCAGTGCAGTAGTGGAGACATTCCAACCAACGTGCCCTCATTCATAAATGCGGAATGTGTACTTTCCAGTTCCGTTTTCCAAGGGTTTTACGTCAGGGGCAAGACTGTCCTGAGTCGCTCACACCCCAGGAGGAGTGAAGGCTAGGTCAGCCGGAACAAGAGCATGGCAGCTGTCACATTCAGGCATTGATACATCATCACACATTTTCTCAAGCGCATCTTCCACATCAAACCACAGAGCTTATCAGCACACACATGGCTGACTCTCCAGAGAAGCATGAAATGGAGGAAGTGTTTGAAAGAGATGTTCTTTTTATAGTGTGCCCCTGTGACTTCTGTCCCTGCCCCACCCCATGGCAATGAGAAGCCTTCGCCTTGCCACCCCCAATGTGCTCTTACCTTTTTGCTCCTATGATGGCCTGTTTCCACTTCTGTCTTTAACTGTGACATAATTATATTTCCTTGTCTAGCTGTCCATTCATTCATTCATCCACTTATTCTTTCAATGTGTTGAGTCAGGCTCCTTGCCACATGCTGATAAACAAGCCATGGTCTCTGCCCTTGAAGAACTCCTAGGTTAGGCAAAAAAAAAAAAATCATATCTTAGAGAATTAAAAACCTAAATTTAGTCATTGCTACAAAAAGTACAAAGGGAATTCCGAGAAGACAGACCAGCATGGGCCAGGGAAGTCAAAGAAGATCCCGAGCTACATGATTCCTTGACATCTGGAGAAAAACACTGTCTTCCTGTGTAATGTATCCCTTCATTTAGCCCAGCATGTTCTGCACCCGAGAGTGACAGCCACGCACAGCTTCTAGGGCTTGTGCTATTTGGGAGGAGGATCATAGATACCATCCCTCAGAACAAGATGAGTTTATTTCAACAGCAGGAATTCAGGAAATTCCCATTTCTTTATACTGCAGCCATCAGCATCATGTCCAGAATCATGTTAATGATTCTGACTTTGGTTTGAATTTTTTTTTTCAAATAAGTCTCTTTTGAAAGAGTCTTGGTATAATAGAAGGTCTGTTTGATTTAAAAATGGTTAAAAAAGCAAACAAACCTTGAGTTCTTGCATCAGATTTACTCTTTATTAAATGTACAACCTTAGGCAAGTCTCTCTACTACTTCAGGCCTCAGTTATTTGCTCTGAAAAAAAGGAATCGACTAAGACCATGTGTTCCAGACTCAGATCTCTGGCTTCCTAAGTGGCATGCAAAGGCAGCAATACTTTCGAAATTCTACACCCATCTGGTCCACACATCCCAATGGACCAACTAAACATCTTTGCTCTTGGCCGGACTTCTATCAGTCCAGTGCAGTCAACACTGGTATTCTTATGATGATCAGAGGCAATGACTGGCAGGCTTTGATTAATAAATGTTTTTGATTTTAAAAACATGGAAAGATAAAATGTGTATTTAAAAAGTGTAATTTGGTAGGCAAAAAAAAAAGATAAAATAATGTGTATTTAAAAAGTGTAATTTGGTAGGCAAAAAAAAAATTAATACTAGAGGACATGGGAAGACAAAGCTGCCACTGGTTAGGGATCAGGAGATTAGGTTATTTTCCATTTTTCTCTCACCTCAATTTGCCCTTGAGACTACTAGTCGGTTGGATTTAAATAAACTTACAATGATTAAGCAGTACTTATATACAGTTAATGATTCACCAATGGTTGACAGGCCAACAGAAAGAAAGGGACAGAGAATCTCAGGCATAATTCCTTTACAGCCCATTCTATCAGAACAAAAATAAGCAAATTGAGCATTAGAGATTGTTCCTTAACAAGCGCCTCTATCCTGGCTCACTATTTGGTAGTACTTGCTTGCAGTCTATTTGAAAATATTTTGGAACCAGCACTATGGATTGTTACACTCCCTCTATGTTCACTTTAATTCAAGCCTTCTTCAGCAGCTCCTTGAGATTCCATCTGATTATAAAAACAGAGAAAGTTCAGGGCGCTGGTTGCTACAGACATGCCTTGCCATTTGTAAAAGTTGAGCAGCAAGAGCTGCAGAATGCCTTTCAGCCTGAAAGATACACACACCTACCCAGCCAGAGTGGCTCAGTTGGTTGAGTGTCATCCTGTTCACCAAAAGGTTGCCAGTTCAATTCCCGATCAAGGCACATACCTAGGTTGTGGCTTCAATCCCCAGGTCAGAGCATGTACGGAAAGCAACTGCATTGATGTCTCTCTCTCTCTCTCTCTCTCTCTCTCTCTCTCTCTCTCTCTCTCCCCTCTCCCCTCTCCCCTCCGCTCTTCCTCTCTAAGCAGTCCTCAGGTGAGAAGAAAAAGACACCCGTGCCTAAGGGGCCTTCACCTCTCCTATAACTCTTTGGAAGCACTTTCTGTGTTTCTCCACTCCACATGGTTTCTGCTGCACATTAAAGTTGAGCAGCAGCTCTTGGGAAGGATGGGGGAGTCGAGAAATCAAAGCTTTCTGAGGGGTCAGGACCTGAGAACAGCTAAGTCATGTTCCCTCAGATGTAATGAGGTCCAAAATGCTGTGATGTACCTTCCCTTCTGGCCAGCTCTCTGCTCCCTCTGACCACCCTGAGAAGATCTTGTTCAATTCTACGGCCCACATTTAAAAGAGATCTAGATAGACTAGAACAAAGTCCAAGGAAGGTTAGGATTCGGAAATCATATCCAAGGAGAGAATAGATGAAGGATGTAGGACAGTTTCTTCTGGAGTGGAAACCTCAAGGCACACTGGAGGGCTTGATTTCAAGACCCTGGTGCCTGTCGTAGGGGAAGGAAGTTTAGCCCTACCCTGTGGGGCTGCAGAGGGCAGAACAGGGACCAGTAACTGGAAATCGTAAGGAGACAGGTCTGCTTCAACCCACTGTGGGGCCAAGAGATTGCAGGGGAGAGAGTGAGCTATTCTGAAGGAGTGGAAACCTCAAGGCACACTGGAGGGCTTGATTTCAAGACCCTGGTGCCTGTCGTAGGGGAAGGAAGTTTAGCCCTACCCTGTGGGGCTGCAGAGGGCAGAACAGGGACCAGTAACTGGAAATCGTAAGGAGACAGGTCTGCTTCAACCCACTGTGGGGCCAAGAGATTGCAGGGGAGAGAGTGAGCTCCTGGGAAGGAGTCCTTGTTGCTAAAAATTATTCCAGCAAAGATGAGTCCCAAATGAAGACTAGGAAGCTGCTGCTAAGATTACACTAAGTCTCCTGCAGGACTCATTTTTGCCAGACATTTTAATTTTTCAGGGTTTGAATAGTCCCTGTGCGTTCTAATACTAAATCCTCATTTTCCCAGGGAGATGAACAAGCGTCTCACAGAGGAACAGGCCAAGAAAACCTACGATCGTGCAATTAAGCTAGAACAAGAATTTGGAGAGTATTTTACGGGTAAGTTCTTTCTAAAAAATTTTTTCAATTACAGTTGACATAGAGGGTGGGGCAAAAGTAGGTTTACAATTGTTGGTATGGGAAATCTGTACAATAATTAATAAGAATAAACTGTTTTGCATCCTCATAACTGTAAACCTGCTTTCGCCTCACCCTGTACATATTATATTAGTTTCAAGTGTACAATAGTGACCAGACATTTATATAACTTACAAAGTACTCACCTCGATAAGTCTAATACAGGTAAGCTCATTTCCCCTTGAACTGTAATAAAGGAGATAAATTGCCTGACATTTGGCATATTGAGGGCCTGGTATATCTGGGCCCCAAAACCTTCCTGCTGAGAATCCCTAATTTCCCTCTGCTTTACCCATTTGCTTCGGACTCTGGATTCCCCCTGCTCTGAATTAAGCTGCAGCCAGCTCCCAAGTTCCCAGGGGCCCTATCCAAAGCCAGGGACGCCAGATGCCACTGAGCTACTTCCTGCTACTAAGGACAGTTTAGGCATTGATACTTCATTAAAACTTGAAAAAAGAAACATTGAGGGCTCAAAATGTGCACTGTCCAAAGCAGTCACTCTAGAGCAGCAATCTCAGGGCCTCCAACCTCCGCTTCAGTGACCTGGAGGTCGGCCTCCCCATTAGCACATGTGAACTAGAATCTTGAAATACTTCCTTGTGTTTCAATTAATTCCCTGTCCAAACAAAACTATTTTTTTTTCTTTTTAAATATTTCCTTGGAAACATGAAGTTTGGGGAATAAAGGATGATTTTTTTTTATCTTGGGTATCCTGGGTTCTCTCATATATATATTCATGAAACATTGATCAAATCCAAAGAGTGAGCAACATTTGTGGAATTTGCCTTACAACTGATAGTTTGAAAACAAGAACTTTCCTCCTGAATAACCTTACGTGAAGTTAGATATTTTCTTTTTTATCTTACTCAGAATAGAATACACCAGTGGCTTAGCAGTTTGCAAATATGTTGAATCGGGTAATCTTAGGTAAAATTTCTAATAACAAAGATAAGAGTGGTGTTTCATCCTAAAAGAGCATCCAGGTAAGATCATCAAGTCAAAACAATGTATATTTGACAGTGGCTAATATTTGGGCGTACAATACAATAATCAATACATTCTGAAGAGTGTTTTTAAAAACCTAAACCATGTTTCAGTAGCAATTTATTTCTAAGCCCTACTGTAATAAGGATAGTACTGATGTGTTTTAGAGATGTAGCTACAAGATAGTGTGTGTCCCCCCCCCCCAGGAGATAATAAAATGTACTTAAATCTAAGTGACTTGGTATTTTAGTAATACACAGTTCATCATTTTGTTTATGTTTCCTCCTATTTATGTTTCTTATAAGTACTTACCATAAGATATTCTCAATTTGAGTATGTAGGGTAAAAATTCATGTTACCAGATTACTTGGAGAATGAATGGGATTTCCTTTTAAGTTTTGGGGGCTGAGGAGGTTAACTAAAGTTTCTTCCAAGAACTTTATTATTTCCTCTGTGTCTAAGTAAGTACAGTACAGACATATAAGGCCAACTTTCCTTAATAAATGGGGAGCTCTCAATCTGAAAAATTGATTGATACCTACCTCAGGGCATGGCCCAGAGTAGCTACTCATAAAATGCAAATAAATGGATGATTCACTGTCCAGAACAACAGACAGACATGTAGAAAGGGGAAAGATTGTGTTGCATTTCTTGCTGATCCAGAACATGCCTTGAAAAGCACTTTTTTCATCATTGATGTGCCCTTGCTTAAGTGAATTTTCTGCTTTTTCTTACTAGTGAAAAGTCACACTCAGTTTCCTGATGAGTTTGTCTATCACTGATTTGAGCTTCCACTGTGTGATTGATGATTGATTCCTAACGCCGGGTGCATTTGCTTTCGTTCTAGCTATTGTCCAAGGAGATAGCTTAGAAGATATATATAACCAGTGCAAGCTTGTCATTGAAGAGCAGTCTGGGCCTTTCATCTGGATCCCCTCAAAGGAAAAGTTATAAATTAGCTACTGCACTCTGACAACGACAGAAGAGCATTTAGAAGAACAAAATATATATATAATATTACTACTTGGAGGCTTTTATGTTTTTGTTGCATTTATGTTTTGCAGTCAATGTGAATTCTGATGAATGTACAACACAAACTGTGTGAAGCCATGAAGGAAACAGAGGGGCCGAAGGGTGGGACAGAAAAGA